CACCACTGAATCCAGCCCCTCAGCTTCTCGTGTGGAAGCCGAAACATGGCAGACGTCGAATACGAGGCCAGCGTGCAACACATCGCAGAAGGTATGGGCAGATCTGGTTCAGAGAGGGACATTTCCCTCTGCGACTGGGTAATCATAACAAAAGTGTTGAAACGCTGTCGATACAGCGGACGTCGCAGACCAGGGACGTTCTTCTCTTGCAAACCGATCCAGGTGACGATCTCAAAATACAGCAACCACAACTGTTGTCTATAACCATCATGTCTATAATACTAACAGTCACTGAAGAACTGATTGCAACAATTGATTTTCAGGCCGGATTTCCGAAAAGAATCGAAGAAATATTGCGACCCTGATCCTGCGCTTGCCACCAAACAGGTTTCACAGGGTCGTTCAACGTCCTCCACGTTGCTGAAAGCTCCCGATGACTTGATTACTCACACTCCTGTTATGGCCGTTGAAAATCTGCCAGTTATCGAGCGCATTGAGCAGGAGATCCAAAATCTTATGGATCGAGAGGAAGAGCTGAAGTAAGGCTGAGGATGATACTGAAAAAATAATTTTTTTATGAATTTTTTGCTTTCTTTTCGTCTTTGGTTGATTCTATACTATTGCTGTGATTATTACTCTATCAACGTATAGCGTTGGTAAGGTATGTAGAATACTTCCTGAGCTAATTATCATTTTAAATGATAAATTGTAGATATAGATGATTTTTAAAAGTATAGCCCTGCAGGTCTAAGGTATTTACCAAGAATGACAGTTTCCCGTACAAACATATGGAAGGAGTCTGTTCCAGACTGCATTTGTCTTTTGCCGAATCTCAGACTCTGGCACACGATCGGGAACGTTGGAAGCACTGTCTAACACGTCTGCCACCGCGACCCGAAAGGAGAAGGGGCGATGGAAGATGAAGATGCAGATGAAGGCACTTTCCTGATTCCGTCGTCATCAAATATCTTTTAATTGCACATACTGGATTTGCGGGCAAAAGGCTTCAAGAGCAGCGGTCTGTCTAAGTGGTCCTCACAGAGGACTAGTAGCAAAAGGCAGTGCAGAATTGTGCAGAATTGCCCAAATACAGTGTAATGACTGTCATTTGTCCCACACCACTACACTATCACTTTAAAGTAAACAGTTTTCGGTATCGAGTATAAATTCGGTATCAGTAGCTGAAGGATAATGAGATGGATTTGTAAAGTCTCCCACGGCAGTTGCAAATCGTACTAGCATTTGATAATATTAAAACTTATAAGTATTATGGTGATTTCAGGTTTATCTGGAATACTCATCTCCATTGATAACTCTTTTAGCCCTACTTTCTAGCCATTTTTTAAGTCAACTTTAACTTTATATATGATAGCATTTTTAGCTACTCTAGTTACCTTTGCGCTTACCTTAAAATTAGAGTATTACGGCGTATATACTGTGGAAATTAAATGAATATAATGTTAGCTAACGGTTGGATCGTGTTGCAAGGTACTGATAATTGATGCATGACATTTGAAAAGAGAGTACAGCTAAACTAGGTACCAGTTGTAATTTGCATATCGTTGGAAAACAACTTTATACGTAGGGCCTAGATTTTCTAATCAGCGTAACTTTTTAAATTTTAATTTACGGTTTTCTCGTGGTATTGATTTTTCGTCAGCTGTCAGGTCGGTTAAGGTATATGTGGCGTGATAAAGCCCCGTGCGAGAGAGAGCGTTGTGGAATTTGACATGGCATGTCAGTACACCACGCTTTAAATATTCTTAGCATATCATCTCCATTTCTCAAGGGTATTAGCAATTAATATGCATTATTTTCTAACCCTAGGGATAACCTAAACAGACATGAATAAAAAACGTGTTTTTAGGCAGCAGAGAGAACGGTTAGGCTACAGGTCGACATCCGATCTATCGTTAATCGAACAGTACAATCGGCTGTACTCTGACGATGGGGGAACCACTATCATCCGGCAGTACACAAGCTGAACCTTCTACCAACCAGTAGAAGCCGACCGAATGACGTTCACCAAGTGACCGTTTTTAAATGAACGTATATCTGTACAGAAACACGTGTATTGACTTCATATTTCCGGATGTTTTACTGTTGGCGTTGTCGCTTTTAGTTAATTTTTAACTTCTTTCTTCGTATTGCCAAGAATCGGTAACTTTCCTCAAACGCGACAGAAAATTATGCAAATATATTAATTTCTCATTAATAAATTTATTCGCAAGTTCGCACGATTATCACTTTTACAACACAAGCAAGAACAACAAGCGCCATCTGCGTTTAGGATCGTGGCATCAGCAGCCAGGCGCTGCAAGTTAATTTGCCTGCCTCGTTCTCGGCCACTAACGTGTATTTTCCATAATGTTTAACGGTAGTCCGGGCGATGGTTAGCCGACACTCGTCACACGTGTTAAAAACGGTGATATCATCGTAAACGATTGGGGACTCGTTGAAGAGCCACACTGCCTAAAACAGGGTCAGGGTTCATTTCAGGATGAAATATATATGTGGAGAAAATGAAACGGTGCATTCGAATTGCGTTCTGTGTGAACTCCACCGAACCGCTGTGACTAAGACGTAGGTGCGTTTGAAGATGAAGCTGTCTGTGTCGTCGATCTTCATTCCCTGGTCATCTACGATCATGAATCGTGGGCCATGACTGAAAACGTCGATTTTGGGTGCAGGCGGCTGAAATGGACTTTCTGAGACTAATCTCTGGCCTTACACGTCTCGACATGGTCCGGAATACAGACATCTGCGAGAGCCTTGGTGTACACCTCTGCTTTTTCAGACTGAGAGTCACAGCGATAGTTTGGATATGAGAATGCAATCGCCTCCAGAAAAGAAGGCGAGGCAGCTATCTGCTGCCCAACCGACCTTCAGAAGGCTCAGAGGACAGCCAAAATTAACCTGGTGCAAATATATTGAAGGGGTCGGTTCCAAACTCCAGTTGTCTTTTGCCGAAGCTCAGACTTTGGCACAGGATCGGGAACGTTGAAAGCTTTCGGGACTTGAAAGGAGAAGCGGTCGTGGAAGATGAATATTAAAAGGTTTGCTGATGCTCCAAATAGGCTGCATAAACAGGTTTGCAAAGATCAAGGAAAATGTGCTAAAACGGCTCAAATACAGTATTGAGAATAATGGTCAAAGCAAATCGGTCCAAAACGTTGATATTTTATTATAATTTTTCGACCCATATGATATCTTTGACTGTTGAATTGGGCGGAGTAGTAAATTCATATTCTTTGCTATAAAGAATGAGTTTAGTAATTAATGGACCCGTAACTTTTGGACCATGCTGGCAGCAGTCAGATTATAGAGCCATTATCTAATGTCTGTGACCTCCTTCCTCTTTCTTTGTTGTACAAAACTTGATGTCGTATGCTCCATAATTTCACGTGCGAACG